GGCAAAATTTGAATTGCAAACATTTTCAGTACTCGTACTTACTCTTTCGCAAATGGTCGGCTTTGGGTTATGCACGCTTGCATGAGAGCTGTATAAATCAGTGAAGACTAATTTGCAGTGGACGTTCAATCACAACCAGAGTTTCAATCGCTTATCAAATCTCTGCTCATTTACTGGTAAATTGTTATAACAGAGTTGTGTTTCATCAAAACTTTTACACCTAATAATAATAATAATAATAATAANTAATAACAATAACAATAACAATAACAATAACAACAATAATAATTATAATTATAATTATATATTATTGTTGTTATTATTATTATTATTATTATTATTATAACCTGCCTAAAGGTGAAGGTGAGGAAACATTTCATGCCCTAGAAAATAGCCCAAGCTCCCACCCCTCCCCGCCTGTGCTCCATAAGTCATCCTTGATCCCTTGTCCGTTAATTTCATAAATCTTTCTATAATCCCGTCAAATTTCCCTTAATAAAAGTCATATGACCCTTTGAAGTATACTTTCGCTACTTTCGAGGGGTAGTTACTTTCGGGGAGCAAAAAGTGTTACATAAAATTGGTACTATTGAGCTCTTTTCACGAAATAAAAGACGGAAATTTGTGAAAAAAATCAGTTCTTAAAACATGAGATACAATTCTTTTTGTTCCAGTTTAAATTTATCTTGCCGTGTTGTCAGTGGACGGCATCAGCTATTGCATCAGCCATCATAGTATTCGGCCTGGCAGATACCGTTAACTGTTTGTACTGCATGACGGACTGTCTGTTTTACTGAATTATATTGCAGTGCATTAATTCCTTTCAATGCACGCTTGCTGAAAATGATATCAATTTGAATCACAATTTCCTATGGTACGTTCCTGTTACATTATGAAAATTCTACGTTTTTTTTTTTATTATTATGTTGTTGTGTTCCAACAGGTCGCAACATTATGAAGTGCGTTTCGTTACATAAGCGATATCTTCCCTTGTTGAAGAGTACCTTTTACGTACCTTTCACTTGACTAATGATTGAAAAAATATACTATTGAACCCCGGTTATTGAACCTTGGCCTCACTATTTTCGGGTGGGGGGAGGGGGCGGGTAGGGGTAGGCTCGCTACTTTCGGGGGTATTACATGTAAATTCGCGATTTAATTTCGCTACAAATTGTTTGACGGTACTTTTCAGGGATCGATCAGTCACAACTCGTCAGAGTTTGCAGCAGCCTTGAATCTAAAAGCGCTACTAGTATCTTACACATTGTACAGTCATGGCTGCCGAGGGTTATCAGCAAAGTTCCCGCGATGTACAAATGGAAGGCGGTAAACTGTTCATACAAACTGACGTGAATCCACAGCCCGGAGATGCCATCTTGGATTTAGGTTGCGGCACTGGTGAGCTATCGGCGTACTTGGCTGAACTTGTAGGACCGGAGGGATTCGTTGTTGGCGTTGATCCCGATGTGAAACGACTTAACTTGGCGAAAGAAACTCATCGTGACATCAAGAATCTGTCACTTGTCCAAGGGAACTCGGACAACTTTGAAGGGATGGGCTGTGAAAAGTTCGACATTATTTTCCTTAATCAAGTTCTTCACTGGATTCCTAGCAAACAACAAGCGTTTAAAAACATGTTTAGTAGTTTAAAAGAAGGTGGAAAAGTCGCCATTCAGTGCACAGACCATTTGCATCCCTTCATGGCGACTGCGCTTGAAGAGTTGTTTCCTGAGATTAAACAGCGAATCAAAGAACGAGGTAAGGAAATATTTTTTGTTGACAAGGACAATGTGGATCGCATATGCGCGACAGAAGGATTTGAGATCGTGAAAAGCTACTACGCTAATAACATAAAGCTTGTTTGTGAGAGCGCGGAGGTTTTCCTAAAGTGGTTATGGTCGAGTTCACATGGAGTTTTTGATCTAAATCTAGTCACGGAAGTGAGAATTCAACGGTTTTTAAGCA